CAAGAGAATGCTCTACGTAATGAGGCGAGCTATTGACAAACAAGTTGATGAAACAAGGATATCAACAATCTCGTTTAAAGTCAACATTTCGCAAGTTTCTATATGGTCTATACTAGTATAATGACCTTATTAGCAAATACAATCCATCATTAAGTCGAATGCTGACTGACGTTTTTCAAACTAATTGTTAGGCTATTGTCTACGGATTTTTCCGTTTGCCCGATCATGACAAAGAGTACATGGCGGGTGTGATCGGTCGACATGGGATGCTTACTCCTCCATGGCACCTGATCCCACCTCTGATGCTTTCAGAGGTCAGCGTTTGCTCTGCTACCGATTTGTATTGTTCGTTATCTCCATATTTCATGTATCTCTCATTCTTTCGAATAAAAAAATTAAAAATGTTTGACTTTCATATACATAAGATGACGAGAAATAATAATGACGAACTTTATTTAATAAGCTGAGAACGAGAACGGTTTTATTAATTATTACATCGCACCCAAACAACATAACATTTTACATGAAATGCATGTAAGAGGACTATTGAGGGAACATGTTTTGAGCATACTGTGCGCTTTGGTGACAGTGTAGAGATGTCCAGTGTTACTCTAAACTAAATGTCCTTTTTTATATATCGTCTAATATATGCAGGTAGTCACACAAGTATATAATAATTATTTTGTATTCTATGATTGATGTAGAGCTTCTTTTCACACAGACAGTTTTTTGATTTATACTTAATAAAAAATGAACAAATCTTAAAGTAAACAAATGCTCGGTGAAATAAGATATACATGTAGATATTTAGGATGAAATGTGAGCAAGTGTTTGAAATTATGAAACTTCTCGACTTGTCTCCCACTTAAACTAAACTCGTATTTTTTTTTTAAATCTGCCTAAACGAATTATTAATATAGAAAGTAATTCCATCACGGTGCATTTAAAATTTTAATATAAGAAGTTTGGAAACATTTTATCATTTTCCAAATTAGTTTTGGTTTTCTTCTTCATTCGGGATTTGTGAAGATTGAGGACTTAATGAGTCGATTGATTCCAATAAGCTTTGAAGCGAGTCGTTACCATTGACAAGGTCAATAACTTTAGAAGAAGGATGGACAGTTAATAGTAGGCAGCAATGAGAAAAGAAATGAAAAAAAGAGCTATACTCAAGTTATTTCTACCATGGTTTTTAAATTATGCCCCCTCCCCAAAGAAAAAAATGAATCATAAAAGGTTATGAATATTACATACATATATTAAAGGTATACAACCGGAATACTCTCAATGTTATGCCAAGACAAAAAAAATTAAATGTAGAGACAAATGATATCTTTTCAAGTACGTGTATTTTCTTAATTGTTATTTACCAGTAAATGAAATGCTTTTCTTCCTTACTCATATAGCTGTCACTCCCCTAAATCCGCGCGATATTTGACGGAGAAAAATGTACAATCTTACCTTGGGCGGCGTGTTGAACCATCCAAGAGGTAAAAACGGTCCAGACGGCCATATCCAAAACATAATTGGTCATTTTAGAAACAGACATTAGATTAAAATTATCAATTGTTTATTTTCTTCATTCTTCGGACTCCTTATTCGAGGAAGTTGTGTATCAATAATACCGTAATACGATGAGTCGTTTGTTGACCAGCGGCGTAATCGTCACTAGAGCTATATCCCCGGGGCCCATGTCCTTAGATACCTATGCAGTTCCGTGTTTTATATGTGTATGTAAAAAAAATATACAACATTTGAGCTGGGATACGGGACATGTTAAACACAAGAGATTAAATTCTAACATGATTTATAAGAGGTTTAGGTTGTTATGATGTTCTCATTTATTCGTGCTTCGCTAAAATTTTTGGGTCCCTACAATTCAGTGGCAGGATTCGCAGCGCCTAATTATAAATTATGGCAAATAAATATTTATTTATTATCTTTATGATAGTGTTTGAAATCATTAATCATTTTCATAATTTCAGTAATTTCAAAATCGAAACACACAATGAAATGAATGAAGTTAATTACCACAGCCTTCAATATGTACTCTGCAGGTTTTGCAAGCATTCAAGACAGTTATCCATAAAGATATTAAAATCAAAAGATAATTAAACCATTAGCATTAAATAATAATGGTTTATTCATCCTACATGTACAGTCAGTCGTATTTCATTTTTATAAAGGAGAGAACAGGTTAATTCACCCATATATATACACCAGAAATAGGAGTTCGACAAGGAGGTATCTTAAAACCAAATATTTGAGGGGAAAAAAAACAACAAACATTTTTATGATGTCTCTAAATTACTGGATCTAGAAAGTATTATATTGCTATCAGATAACATGAAAGGTTTGCAATCCAAACTAACCTTACTTTTAAATATCAGTGTTTAAAAATTAACACCAGTAGTTAATAAAGTGGCCACTTATTATGCCCCCCTTCGAAGAAGGGAGGGCACATTGCTTTGTTGCTGTCAGTCGGTCGGTCTGTCTGTCGGTCCACCAACAGTTTCCGTTCATTTTCTCCGCAGAGGTTGCACAGACTAAAGTGGAATTTGGTATACAGATTTATCATAAGAATATCTAGGCCAAATTCTGTTTTGGATACGATCGAGCAATTTTTGACAGATTTATGCCCCTTGGACTTAGAAAAATTCCAATTATTTGCAATTTCCGTTCATTTTCTTCGCAGATGTTGCACAGACTGAAATGAAATTTGGTATACAGATTTTTATCATAAGAATATCTAGATCAAGTTCTGTTTTGGGTACGATCGAGCAATTTTTGACAGAGAAAAAGAAGAGATTTGTATGATATTTTAAAGGATTGGAATATAGAAATCTTGCGTATTAATTAAGTTTTATAAACGTCTATTGAGGTTGTCAGAAAAGGATATACAAATACATTTATTGCAATAATTTCAGAATTAGGTCATTATTGTATTTTCATAAAGGAGAACAAGTTAATTCACCCATATACACCAGAAATAGGAGTTCTACATAACGGTAGCATGTCAGCATAATTCTGTTACATCTTGCATGTATGATGTCAGGTACTGGCGTTAGTAAGTAAATTTACCCACATTAAAATCAGATTCTCTAAAAAGATTGGTAGTTTGCATGATAACATAATTTTCTTGGATGTAGACATAATTATTTTGCATGTTGACATATTTTTCTTGCATGTTGACATAATTTATCTTGCATGTAGGTGGTAGAAATATGCCACCATAGTATGCTTTAAAGCCGTATAGTTACATAGCGCTTATACAGAGAATATCATTCTAAATTTACACAAATAAAATTGTTGGAAAAACGAAAATTCTTTTAGTAAAAAAGGGGGTATTATGTAATCTCATTGTAAAAGGCTAAAATTCTCACTTCATAAATTCCACTTCAGTCGAAAAGGTGTGAAGAGGATCAGAAATCAGGAAAATTAATCCTAATTTTTTCAAATTTTCAATGTATTTATTTATTTATTTTTGCGTAGAGGTAGATATTGTCCTTTATCCTTTTAAAAAAAAAATTTACATGCAAAATTACAAAGAAGATGATCGTATTTGGCGTGTAATATGCAGGTTAGCTGACCATAGCTGGACAGACTTTACGAGGTTACACACAAAAAGGAAAATGTTACATCACACTGAAATACATTTTCAAAAAATTGTTATATTTGAGTCTGCTTATTCTAACAGTCACGATATCATTATTATCACTTCACATAATTAATAAACAGACACAAGATAATAGGGTATAGTAAAAAATATTAATGCAGATCTTTCAGTGAGTGGGAAGAATTGCTTTTGCTCTCGGTGCAACACAATTAAAATTTAACTTGAATTTGAATTTTAAAAAATCAATAAATGAAATGAAACTGACATGAAACAACTTGATTATTTGTTCAAAATAAAAATTAAAGATCGAACCAAAACTTATCGATTCCCACCGTCGTATACAGGTAACATACACTGTATACCACTGTGTTGTCGCAACATATTAAGTTAAAGTTGCCTTTAAAAAAAACAGCAGCACAATTACACCATATGGTTTTTGGGGAGCTCGTAAAATTGTATCAAACTTATATGTATAGTAAACGTGCAAGTTATAGAAAAAAAACCCTTCATTTTAATTACGAACATTTTCGTAACATGTATACTCAAAACCTCAGCTAGTCTGTTTATCACTTGTTGTATCTCTGTGTTGCTGCCTTTGCGTGCACTATTTTAGTCTACATCAGCATATTTCCCTTCACACTGTAAAACAGTCCTTGTTTATAAATCTCCTTGTTAGACCAATAGAAAGCATAATATTTTTATCTATACAACAGCCCTATATAAATATACCTCAACTCGAGCGAGAAGACTTGTTGCAACCCCCCTTCCCCTCCCCTCAACGGGGGATGTCAGGAATACCATGAATTGCATGGTCATTCAAACTGAAATTGCTGAGATGTCTTTCGTAACCAACCATTTTCAATTTTGCAGCATGTACCACTTGTTTCATTCTCTCAGTCCTTGTTTGGCGCTACTATTTATCGATTTTCGCGATCTTGGGATTTTTTCGAGGTAAGTGATCGTTCAAGTTATTGAATAACTGCCAGGAAACATGGAAATTCATGCTAAATAAATAGCCTCAGAAGTCTAGGTAGTAGTTATACCTATGTTCCGAAAAATAATGTCAAATTTTCGCATAAAAGTCCCGTGGAATTTCAGCAGGGCCTCCTTAACTTTCTGTGTGAAAACATTTTGAACTTTTTAAGATATTTTATTTTTTACTACTCCAGAAAGCTTTTTTCTGCAAATTTTGGCTATTTTCTTTTTAGTATAATTTTTTAAGCAGTGCATGTAAAGGAATCAAGATAGCCGGATTGATACTCGATTTCCCCGAGCAAGGATTTAGTTTTCAAGGCATGCAATCAAAAGTCAAAACAAACAGTTCTTTTTTTTTTCGTTAAAAAATGAATTCGTAATTTATTCATTTTTGAACATAAATGTTCTCAGTAATTCACAACATTATAACATTTCATTCAAAATAAAATGCAGCTTTAAGTTACAGCAATTATAAAAGCATATTTTTCACATTTCCATCGATTCTGGCATTACATGTATTAATTAATAACATATAGAGCTAAAATTGCAAACTGTCTAAATGACTACACTTTAACTACATGGGAAAAAATAGATAAACTGCATAGAAGTATAAAGCTAAAATCTTATGGGATTTCAAATTACAACAGATGACGAAAACGTACTTAGATATTAAACCTGAGATGCTAAACACGAATGTATGATTAAATTGTTCACTATGAAAATATGACAAGTACAGTATTCATCAAGATAACATTCGCTAAAAATTAGCAAAAAGCATTCAACACAATTTGGTGGATTTTAGTACAGTAGCTCAACTACGTGCAAGTACCACAAAGTTTCAATATTCTACTTTCACCGAAGGCTACGTTTCTCTGGTTCTATTGCCGCGGTGTTTTTGCTACTTGTTTGCGTCCACACCTGCCAGCTGAAGTTTCATCACGTGTTGGTACATTTTAAGGGCGGGGCCAAGCCGGACTGATAATCCAGTTAACACATCACTTCTCTTCATCAACAACAGAGACTGTCCATCAATTTCCTTACAAGAAAATAAGTGACATCTCATTGTTGCACAGTTTTTATATGAAATTTGTTACTAGCAATAACTCATACTTTATTCATCTACATGACATACTTAAACGATCACATTCAAACAACTGGATTCCACAAAGGGTATCTTTTACTGAAAGATATCCTTGACTCCTACCTGCTCCTGCAGAGCTTCTGCCTGATCCTTGTAACCTAGGCTTGTGAAGAATTTCACTACGTCCTCTACTTCCCACTTGGATGCGTCAGGATAGTGAACCTTCTTCTGATCAGACGGTGATCTTTCCTCCGATCTCCTCTTGGCATCTTTTCTGCAAATAAGAGGAAAGGCATATAAATTGATTTGTGCACTTTTGGAATTCACTACATGTGTTTTCTAATGAATAATTTTCAACATCCTTACCGAAGGTCTTCGTCAGACGATGCCGCAGAATCGTACGGAGTGGGTAAACAAGATGTGTTATTTTCGTCTGAAAAAGACACGTACAAAATATTCTAACTAGCTATAATATAACACGTAATCATAAAGTTTTGAAGTCCAAACGCACAAATGATCACAGGTAGTTTCACAGACCTCGGCTGTCGTCTGCAGTGTCGTTGGCATCATCAACCTCCATACATCCATCCACCGATTCCGTATCTTGGCATGTCTGGCACTCCCATTTACCTGTAAATGGAAAGACTTATAGAGGTCATTTGCTTGGTTTTCTGTACATTTGGTTTACAGGAACTTGTCTATGGCGATAGATCTTACCTTGTGGTTTGTCCTCAATGGCTGGTTCGTGACAATTCATGTGATACCCTTTGTCACAGGCATCACAAAATAGCATCATGTCCTATAATTACATTTTGAACATGGTTTAATTTAAATCATAACTTTCTCAACTTTCAAAAGACATTTGTGAATCGGAAAACAATTCCAGCGTACTGCAGGCTACTTACGGGATCGCCTGCGTCCAGACAAACGGTGCACGTTTTGCAGTCGATGCACTGCCATGGAGATTTCAGCGCACGCTTAGCGAGGGTTGAATTGTATCCCATACAGGAAGGGTGAGCTAGAAACGCGGAAAGTAGACAATCAAATTCTGATTTTCATTCCCCCTCCTTCTTTAGACTGTTTGCTATATAATTTTATTTGCAATTTATCCAAAAAATTAAAAAAAAAAATAAAATTTACGGTTGTAGCGACTTACCCTTGGCGTTGCAATCCTGACAAACTAAGATTCCCTCTTTGAAATCTTTTCGGATAATTGGTTCTGTCTGCAGACAATAATCACATGACGAGTCCTCCATGGAACGTTTCCCAAAGGACAGCGTCTCAAAGTCTGGGCCATGAGTTTTTTTGAACTTCTGAAATATTTTAAACAAACTTGCCCATAAAACAGATTTCAATGCGAAGGACAAACTAAACGAATGTGTTACATATTACTTCAGTGTGGAGAGTAATTTCTTTTAAAAAGGTAGGAAAATGAATTAAAAATATTTATGACACTTTTCACTTTCATTTAAAAAATGATCCGAAACTTAATTAGCAAATATTGGCCTCTAGTCTTTATCTTGATATTTAGTGATCTGTCCCGTTCTCTCTCTCTCTCTCTCTCTCTCTCTCTCTCTCTCTCTCTCTCTCGTCTTCCTTTAAGGCTGATGTAGACAGTATCTAAGGTACTAGTTTATTTATCATATAAATAAAGCAAAGTACGGCAAAAAGTGTCTTAATCCTCATCAATATCTATGAAGTTGGCGTAATTATTCAATACATTTACATAAAAAAATTAATTTATGTCTGGATGATTTCTACGAAAAATACGTATAATATACATTAAACATAATGCAAATTTTAAAATTGATATCAAGCTTGAAAATAATCATAAAAACAGCTGTATGCATGTTAGCTTTGTGGTGGAAATCTGTCTCGTTTGTAAACTATCACTGTAGGATCATGCTGACATTTTTCAGTACAACCTTCCGAGTTGACTTAATCTCGTCTTGAAATCAAGAACATATTTGAATTTTGTTGCAATCTGACTCTTCGCAATAAATATTCCGTTAATTTTTATCCGCATTTCCAATCGCATTTAAAAATTAAAATAAAATAAATATAAATAAAGGCACTGTTCCCTCACAAATACGTAACTTTACTTCGTGGTAACCAATATAACCTAACATTTCTGTTTTATACTCGTAGCTACTGATACCACAGTACTGCCACGCCCCTTTTTTTCCCCGTTGGTTTGGTTTGTTTTTTACTTTGGGTAAGAGAGAGAGAGAGAAGGGGGGATAAGGTGCCTGGTGTCCGGATTTGTTACAGTAATCGGCGCAGGTACATGCACTACAAATGATCATGAATAGGATCAAATGTACATATATAAAGACAACTTTCCTTTTGGTTTTTATATAAAAATATAAGATTTAATTTTTACCCTTCAATATTACAAACAGCTTGTAGAAAGTTCTATTTTTGACTATTCTTTGACGTGAAAAAAAATCCACGGAAAATTTGCTCTCTGCAATGCATTTATACGAATGACTCGAAATACTCAATCGTAACTTTGGTGACTTGTTTTCTTTTTTTTTTTTTTTTATTAAAAACTTGTAGGAAAAGTGGCAGGGTAACTGTAAACAAATTATAAATAAATATACTTTTAAAAATTTCATGATCGCCAAGTACGTTCATGCAGTTTCTCGGTGCATTGCATCGATTTAATGGACAATATGTTCAAGAAAAATAAATATTGAACACCTTTATCTGGAAATTGATTATACAGGAACAAACATACAATTCATTTATAAGCAATTAGTTTCTAGTCATTATTTAGTCTATACAGATTAATTTCAGCTGAAACATCTTTATTTCAGTTTTAAGAGGTACAGCTTCATTTCACTTTCTTTTTCACAGTTTTAAAATATAACTGTCAATCGCACAATTTTTTTTTGCATAACTTTTTTCATGACCTATTTCAATAGCAGACAGGTATATTAATTGTGCAACTTACCTTACGTTTTGAGGGTGGACGTCCTCGTTTACCGGGGCTTGAAACAGAGGTGGTGGGTTTTTCTGCAATTTTCTTTTCCGGGTTACTTTCGCTACAAATATAGTTACCATGGGCTAGCTTTTTTAGGCTTCCACTTGCCACTTCTTTATCCAGAGCGGACCGGATCTGACTGCGCTCCAGATGGGGCTCCGGAGTATTTGCGCTCAGCCAACGTTCTACCTCCTTCACAGATGCGCCTCTGTCTCCGGAATTTTGCGCAATTTCTTGAACCGCAGTAATAATATTTTTAAAAGTTTTATCAGAATGAACAACTTTTTTCCACGAATGGGTTTTCTTCCATTTAGCTGTGTTTCTGTAACTCACATTCCCTTTATAATCCACTTTTACAACTGTTCCCGACTCTACTAATTTTTCTAAATGCGATTCCGTCTCTTGCCATTTCATTCCATGCTTACGGGCTGCCATGTGACATATTCGCACAATATCTGGTCGAGCTTTCCGTTGTCGGAGCTGGTCAATTATTTGCAATATGCTTTCTTTGCATTTTTGGCTAGCCATCGAGTTGTTTAGAATAACATCCAAATGTGCGACTAGGGTGAAAACAATCTCTACATGCGGCTGGGTAAGGTCCGGGGGAACGATATCTTTCAATGTTTTGGTGGAATGCGCATGTCTCATTTCATTCAACAGAGGCATCATGGGATAGACTGGAGTATCATTAAAGGAAATTTAAGTATACATTTTCCCACAAAAATCCATTATAGTGTCTGAGAGCCTTTAAAACATTCAAAATAGTGTTTGACTTTGATGTGATAAACAAATATAAGATCAGATCCTGTAAATTAAATTTAAAAAGATTATATCTCTATACGATTTTCCCTAAAGTGCCTCATTGGACCAAACATGACAACGTCATCGCGCTTCGGGAGAGTACAACTGCGACAACTTGAAATTTTTGCACAAAAGCAAGACATTTAGATCAACATATACATGGTGGATGTGTTTTATCCATTGAACTAACAATTATAAATAGTATGCAGGTATTTAGACTAAGCAAATGTTAGGTGCGACATGAGAAGCGTAACTGCGAAAATTCCCGGAGGCGGATCTGGCGTTTTTACGCTAAAAAATGGGTTATTTTGTTCCACAATGTAATTCTTATGCATTATGAACTGAGAACAATATATCACACAATTTTAAAATCATATTAGCTTCCATCCTTCATTGCTGACCTTATATGTAGTTTAGCGTATTATTTTCATGAATTAGAAGTATATTATGCAATTTTTCCAAGATCAAATAACTTACATCCATTATTGTTTAAGGATCAGCAGGGGCTGACAATATAAAAGCTTGTATGTAACGCACTAGAACCTTTTCTTGATATGAAACAAGTTACTGTTATTTAATTCATAATTTTTAATTACAAATTAATTATCTATGTTATTACAAATTATAGTAATAACAAATTATTACATGTACTTTGAAATTACAAATTAGTAATTTGTAGTTATGTATTATACTTGAAACAATAAATTTAAAATTTGCAATCAAAATAATTTGTTATAGACACATCTATCAAATTCTCAGTTTAACATTTACATATATGAAGCATGGAGGAAAATGAATTGATTTGAAATAACTTAAGGATCGGTTTGACCTTAAGGACCCTTCGTACACTGGCTTAAGCATAAGAGTGATCTGCCCTCAAATATATTTAATGAACTAAAGTCTAAAGGATTTTTGTGGTATCAATTCGTAATCAATTCAAGTATTCTGAACATTTTTTTTATACAAAGATGAATTAATTGAACACTTTTCCCCAGGATAGTGACAACTTTTCATCAATACTTGGTTTTCTTTTGAACATTTTTCCTAGGGGTTAATGGCATGGTACCCTATGTTGAATTCAAAAAATGACCCCCCACCCTCCAAAAAAAAAAAATGTGTATAGAGAGGGTCCTTAAATATCAATTAAGGACATCAGATAATATTTCCGAATTAACTGTTTCTTTGAGGCATTTGAAAACGACCGCTGCATCACAAGGATTAAATTGAAGGGAAAACTTTTCCGAGATACTGGATGTTGCTTGATTTATATGAGGGTAGTTCAATAAGTACTGCTACATACGGTTTATCAAACTTAGTATCAGCAGTTGCTTTTATTTTTCACAATCTAATAGTTCAATCAATCCCCAAATTACCGAAATTCCGCATGATTTTTCTTGCTGGTTTGCAAAGAAATTTACTTTTTATTAAAGTAAACATGGTCGCATCACTTAGCTTAAAACTACCATAGACAAAAATGGTCTCTATAAAGAAGATGGAATTGGGAGATGGAAGATGGAAACTGCGTTTCATTACGAAAATATGCTGAAGGTATATGAAGCTATTGTTTTGATAAATAGAAAGACTACTCTCTCACGTAGTATGGTGCACAGATGGATTAAGAAATTCAAAAGTAGAAAAAGAGAGTTTAAAGATGACAGTCGGCGTGGTCGATTAGAACTGTAGTGACACAGAAAAAAATTGACCTTATGAGCTGTAGGGCTGTGTATTGAGCAAAAAATTTCGATACGGTACGATATTTTAAAAGCAATACTTAGTATGCGATATATTGGACTCTTGTTTTATTACCCATTTCGGAGTTCTTGTCTCACTACAATACACTTCAAATTCAAACTTTTACGACTGTAAAGTCAACATGTTAAAATATAGTTGTCCATGTATTTTGTAAAAATTATTTAAGGTATGCCTCCTCCTTAATTTTCATATCATTGTTGATCAGTTTTAATTCAAAACAGTAAAGAAATATAATCTTTGGTGATTGAAATTCCCAACTTTTTCACGAATTATAAGAAAAACTGCCTGCCCGATACGTACTGGAAGTTATCTTTTTTTTTTTTTTTTTTTGATACGACACATTCTTGAATATCGGAACGTATCAATATATAGATATATTGACACAGCCCTTATGAGCAGCATGATATCTGAAAGTTTCAAATTTACAATGAAAGATATTGCAAAGACATAATACATTTATTGACTGGGTTCGAGGGCAACATGCGTTTTATCGGACCAAAGAACCAAACTGTTTGCCTGAGGCCATTAGACCCAAAGTTGTGAGTACTAATAAGCGGTCCAATATCTAATTCTGCGGTCCAATATCGATATTTTTGACCGTCCAGTTAAACATTGCTAATGTTAGACATTTTAAGTAAAGATTTATATAACCCTATAGGGAACAATTTTCAAAGGTATAACGATAAACATTTCATCGCCAGAAAACATTATAGATTTCTGACAAAGGAAATATTCCTGCCAGATGGGTATTTAATCTGCTTACAGATGGCTAAAAGAAAACACGCATTAAAATTGGAAGGGAAGAATACACATTGCAACAAAAGTAAGTAAAGATAAACGTTCGATGTGAAACAAATCATATAGTTGTACTATTTTGAGCCCAACAGGAAGATCAATTATAGATAGATGGCATCAGAGAAGAAGCTTTAGTCCTATTATCGCTGCAAGAAGCTAGAACTCCAAAAACTTCTTATATAATTTTTTTTTAACTCGAGAGGTCCAGTATTATAAATGCTGTAACCTACACTCAAGAGGAAGGGCCCTCAGTGGTAGCTTTTATGATAAAAATGTATTGAGGAAAATTAAGCTGATCGTCTGTTAGTGCATGACGCCCAAATTCCGTGTTTTTCAACATTGCCGCAAACAAGCAGAGATGTAAAGGGAATTTTGAAGAAAGTAGCAGAAAAATGCTTAACCATCTCAACTTTTTACGAAGTCTCAGTCATTGTGACTTCCTTTTATTCCCAGAACCCAACAAGATCAACAAGGAAATCGTCACAATTTTAATAGGGCCGGACCTGAGGGGTGCCATTCGTCAGTGTCTTCTGAGCATCCCTAAAGAAAAGTTTATGCTGAGGTGTTGCGGTCTTTAGTGCAGTACGGAAGCGTATTAGACATGCGTTAAAGTTAATCAGAGAATACTTGGAGGGATTAAAAATATATAGAAGTCGCTTTTCGTGTTTTTTCTTTATTTTTGGTAACATTTTCCATTATTTATTGAACACCCCTCGTGTTTGAGGAACTATAAAAGATTTAAATATAAATGGATCCATTGCATGGAAATACATGTATTTTAATTGGCCTGTGATGAAACATTGCATGATCATGATTATGTCAACTAAGAGGTGGAAAATCATTATCAACGGAGTAAACTATTTGACCTTTGGACACAACTGATCTATATATTTCACACATTTTATAAATTGTGATTTATTGAATAGAATACTTTATGCAATGAACTGAAATATAAATTTGCGCAACTGCACAATTAAAATTGATATGAAGCAAAGTTGGACTCCCTTCCCAATATGTTTTCTTTTTTTGTATTCTTAATTTCCTTTGTTTAAGTTATACATATTCTCAATTTAGTCTTCATGCAACGGTACCTACAATGTAATTAAGATCATTAATTTTACACAGACAGTTCTATAGCCTCGCAAACTTCGACATTTGTTGTTCTAGAAAACTAGGGTTGTGCAATAAGCCTTTGCTTAAATATAGGTTGGATTGGGGGGGGGGGGGGGAGAGAGAGAGATAGTGGATTGAGTAAAAAACTGGCTAAATCGCTTGGAACGTATTTAAGGCTGACATAATAATCCAGTATCTCATATCAAATACAATCAGTTCTGCTGTGTATTCACCCCCACCTTAATTCCGTAAACAATGAATGACAGGTTTGTAAACCAAACGAGAGAGAGAGAGAGAGAAAACGGGATGTTCCCAAAAAAATTATTTCAAAGTACTTATTATGTCCAAGACTCAGGTTTGAAAGAAGAAGGGCGAACAAGGCGAGTGAAATGCCTATTTTGCGAAAATCAAGAAAGTGATTAAATCTCAGTAATGGCAAAATTTTCTTTGGTATTTCATTTAATTATAACATTACGTATACTTTATGCAAAATCTCCACAAATGCAACAACCTCACAAAGATTGAAATTATTCGTCTATAAAATAGAATATATACATCAAAAAGGGCAAGACTGGTTAATTCTTCATACTTCAACACAATTTTTCCATATGAGAGGGTCTTTGCTCCATTTTTTTTTAAAGATTATACTAAAAGTATGTGTAAAAATATACATTCTTGTTAACAAGAAAAAAAAAATGGAGCAAAGACACACTATATATACCTTAAAATGCTTTTATGTCACAACATTCGTATCTTTCCGAGAAATATCTGAAGTCCATTTAGTCATATATCAGAAAGATGATTCAAATGCCGGTATTTACTATGAGTAGTATAGCATAGTGGTTAGAGTGTTGGTGAAGAAGAGGTTTCAGATACTTTCAATGATAAGAACTCTAAATACTAAATTCAAAAAATGAAAACGACTTTTTACATTTGAAGTTATAAGCATTTTGCAAATCTTGTTCGCCCATCTCATTTGCAATTCTCCGAGAGTGATTGTTCAAATGCAACGCCATTAAAATCATATATAATAATATTATCAAGTTAATAATTCATAATGATAAATCATTAATTTGAAATTGCAGGCCTCCTGCAACCCTCAACTTCACTCCTAACCCAAGAATCAATGTGCATTAATGTTATGTTCATATGAGTGGAAGTCAGGTGCAAGTAAAATATATATACTATTGTATCAATTTGGAATTTTCCAATGTATTTGTAGTCTTTAGACTATTTTTAGTCTTATGTGGAAAAAATAAATTCTTATATTCACCTGGAAGGTCACATGCAGGTGAATATAACGAGTTTTTTTTCTACCTTGTTGGAACTCAACCAATCAGAAAGAAAGGGATATTTTTCACTCATATAATAATAAAACAATTATTGCTGTTTTTTTTCGGACAATACGCTGATTTAACCACCTTCGAAGTACAATATTCATCCCGCCCTTCGGGCTCGGTGAATATCGTACTCCTCAGGTGTCTAAATCATCGTATTGACCGAAAAACAGCAATAATTGTATAATAACAAATTTCAAATAAATTACAATTATTGCTGTTTTTTGAGGTCAATGCGATGATTTAGACACGTGAGGAGCACAATATTCACCGAGCCCGAAGGGCGAGGTAAATATTGTACTTCGAAAGTGGCTAAATCTTCGTATTGACCGAAAAAACAGCAATAATTGTTTTATTATATGATTCAATGATTAAATGACACATACTCATTAAGCAATCCATGTCATCTTACTTGTTCACATCTACTGAAGTACTAGCCGAACATTATGAGAGAAACGGGGTTAAGACAATCAGTTGTATTATTTTGGAATTTTTAAGTCTAGTTTAGGTGCAATGTAGAAAAAAAAAATAAATGTCAGGCATATATATATAGAATTGATTTTGAAAAGGGGGTAGTAAAAGGGAAAAAAATGACAACTTACCTGAAAACAAATCTTTGCCCCCCCTCCCCCCCCCCCCCCAAAAAAAAGGAAAAGAATTCTCCCAACTCCAAATTGTATTTGATGGGATGTAAAGGTCCATAAAAGAGGGGAGGGGGCTTTCATTGGAATTGTTTATCCTTAAAATTTAAATTAAAACTTTATATTCTTAAAAGGTAGGGAGAGGGGCAGCAACCCCCAACCCTCCTGCAACCCCCAACCCTCACCCAAGAATCGATGTGCTTTAATGTTATGTTCATATGAGTGGAAGTCAGGTGCAAGTGAAATAACCAAAACTATCTGCATCAATTTGAAATTTCCCTATCTATTTTTGGTCTAATGTAGAATAAATTTTTCCTTATATTGACCTGGAAGGTCACGTGCAGGTCAATATAACGTAGTATTTTCTAACATTGTTGGATCTCAGCCAATCAGAGAGATGGGAATTATTCAATCATATTTCAAATTAAAAATGTGCAATAACAAAGTAAATCCGTAATGACAAGTTAATTAACTGTAATAACAAATCATTAATTTAGGTAATACTGGTAAGCAAAATTGTATTTTCCAATTTATTATTTGTAATAACAAATTAATAATTTGTAATTTTTAATAAATAATTGGTATAAAAGCATTCTTTATTTGTAATGACAAATTAATAAACTGAAGTAACAAATTATTTATTATCAAAAATAAATAATTATTTCAAATCAATAATCACAAATGAAGAAAAACTAATGGTGTATAACTCTTTCAATATTCATATAAGATGATACCACAACAGTGCTGATATGCTTGGCCTTACTTACAGTCTGCAAGCAATGGCCATGAGTTGATTTTTTTTTTTTTAAAACTAAATGCAAGTCAAGAGGCCCATTGGCTACAATGCTCACTTGGGACATTTTGGCACTGCTTTTCATAAGATTTAACATTATTTTCTTTGACATCTTTTCTCTACACGCATGCAAAATTAGATCCAGACTTTAGTCTGACCTTAGCCCCAGGGTCCATAATTTGGACAAAAAAAATTAATCCACACACAATGGGAATCTGTGCATATAAATATGATTTAGTGTAGACCTGTTTCTCTTATAAAAGAATCTTATTTTAATTTTGTATACATTGAATCTGCAATACCTGAAACTTCCTATATGTATCCCTTCATAAGAGAACTATTCAAAACTTTGCTTGAAGATGCTTGCATATTTATATGACTAAGCATAGCTCTTCTATCCTTAAGAATTTTCCTTTATATCTTACAAAAAACTGTGATCTCCTAATTTAGCCCTAATCTTGCTACCTTGAGCCTTACAGATGACAGATGGTCAGACACATACTGGACTACCTGTGATGAGAAAAGCTCACTTGAGCCTTTGATTCATAGGAGCTAACAATGCCAACAGACAAGGTTAAATAAGCTCACTGTAACTTTTGGCTCAGGTAAGCTAAAAGCTTTCCATTTTTAAAAAAGTACTAATGTATATATGTCATGTACTCCCAAGTGTTTTCTTAAATGGTAATTTGTTAAATTAAAAGTAAGAAAATCATACATGTATTTTAGCTCATCTGAGCCAAAGGCTCAAGTGAGCTTTTCTAATCATGATTTGTCCATTGTCTATCTTTGTAATCAACAACCTAGGTGTTGTTGTTCTTTATGTGATCCTCTGCACAATAAAAAAAATCAAAGAGAAGCAACACATATGTCAATAACAAATAATTCAAAAAGATAAGTAAGTAAGGCAGTTTAACACTAATCAATTGCAACATTTATGCCAGTTTGGTCTGGGCAGAATTTTTAGTTACTTGAGTATGGACTTGCTCCCAAAACTTGACCCACTAAAGGTAAGATTTGTAAGTCAAGGTTGGTCTACTTAAGGCTTAAAGTTACACAGGAATAGACCTGCTCCAAAAGTGTTATCCTGGTCATACATCTGGTAAATATAGGTCAGATCCAGCATCTGAAACAAGTCTGGTAGTGTGGATCCCTTGGTGTGTCATCTATGCAAGTTTGGTCACAATAGGGCTTATAGTTACTTAAAAATGATCCTGCTCTAAAACATTTAAACTTGGTCAGTCATCCAAAAAATGTACATCAGATCCAGCAGATGTATACTGTTGTAGATGTATCATCCAAACAAGTTTGGTCACCATAGGGCTTATATATAGTTTTTTGGGAATAAGACCTGCTTCTAAAACATTAACCTGTCATTCTTTGACTGATAATGCAGTATTTAAAACCTGGTTGGTACATTAAAACATCATATCTGCATCATCCATGCATCTCTGATGAATATAAGGCACAGAAGTATTTGGAAAAAAATCTGCTTCAAAAACTTGAATCTTGAACATCCATGGTATTACTAAGCTTCCCCAACATCATTGAGGTGACTAAAAATGTTCACATTTCAAGTTTTAAAAAATCCACCTTTGAAATGTTTAATTTCAAATTTTTTTTCACATCTATCAAAAGAAAAATGTCATTTTCATTACTTTTCAATTCATCAGTGGAATAGTTTATACAGTTCAACTGTACATCCATCACAGAATTTCATGTAATAAAGACAGCTAACACTATGAAAGAGAGTGGAGTAACACGTATGTACACCGCTACAACATGCTGTTTGTCAAGATGAGTGTTGTTTGCAGAGACTTGGAGGAGAGAAATGTTTAGTGATTGGGTTTTCAGAGATGGCCTTTTTGCACTGAAAACAGGAACTTCGAGAGCAGTTCCAGCAGCGGATGTGGTTATCATTATTGTTACGAAGATTTTTTTGTTTGCAGAATGGACATCTCAGTAAGTTATTTTTCTGTTCCGGATCAACTGCGAGGGTCATTTCAATCTTTGCAGCAATCTATTAAGAAAGAAAATATATAAAAATAAAATTTAAAAAAAAAATCTTATGGATGTATTCTGAAGAGGTAAATTGAATTAAACTTTTTAATTTTGGTATTTAATTCAGTTTCTTTCATTATTTGAGACAAAATACATATGTACAACTAAAGGCCTAAAGGCCTTAATGGCCACCTGATATACAACACTTTGAAGAATACAAAGAAGTATAAAATAAAACAAAGTAAACAAAGAATGAATGCACTTTTACTTTATAATCAATAGACCCCCATCCCACTGAACCTCTGACCCTGGGGCCACATACTTCATAATTTTGAAAAAGGTACCCTAGCTTATCATAACCATGCATTTAGTTTTTTCTGCTTAATACCGAGGAGCAGAAAAGATGGCCTAGAATTCATGCATTTTTGCTATATAATCAATAGAGTCCCACCCTAGCACCAGAAACCCTGACCCTGGGGCATAAATTTAACAATTTTTGAAGAAGGCTCAATGCTATTACAATCATACCAACAGTTTGACTGTTTGATGTCCAGGAAAAAATATGAAGATTTTTAAAAATTGCATCAATTTTGATAGCTTTAGCCCCATCCCTTAGATCTCAAGGGGACAGGGATCATAAATTAATGTTCCCCTTCACCCATGAAGGCTATACATGCGCAAAATTGGTTGAAATTAGTTCAGCGATTCCAGAGAAGAAGCTGAAAATGTTCAAACGTTCAAACATGATGGCGAACAAAAACAGATAGCAATGGATCACCTGAGTGACTCTGGTGACCTAAAAAGAAAAATTTGAGTAAGTGGTACAGTCCTTTTTCCAATACCTGGACTCTTAAAGGAAACATTTTATAGGAAATGAAAGCACAATCTCTACTTTATATTGATGACGAAAATGGGACATAAGGCGTTAGTCAGTAAATTGGTATATCTTAAAGGCCATTTTATGCATAAAATGAACATAACTCTTTCAAAGGTTGGGTACAAAAGTTCAATGCCAGTTTATATTTATTTTTACAGTGTGCAACAAAAAATCATAGTTACCGGATTTGGGGCTTTATCTCGTAGATGTACAGGTCTAAACATTACTGGTACATCTATTACTCCGCCATCGTTATAAAAGTTGTTTTCCTCAAACTGTGTTGAAATCGTGGTCAAGGTACATATACCAAAATGTCCATATGATTCCTTTGTAATGTCTTTACCACAAGCCCAGCACATGCTGTGATTACAATAAATGCATGTAACCTTGTTACATCTGTAAATATAAAAAATTTAGATTTTTAACAAATTTGTCATTGTTAATTTTAATCACTAATTAGAATAAATTTTCACCAAAAAATGGTGTGTTACTAGAATTTTGAGTCAGAATTCACAAAATTGAAAGCATGTCCTTATTAAAAGAATGTGGGACTTCATTATGATATGCTCAAGGAAAGGAAAAAAATATGAAGATCATTGAGATAGTACCCATCTCAAATTACTTGGTTTTAAGTAAAAGGATATTATGAGGAAAGAGTCTTGTAAAGGACTGAAACTGGAGTTTGACCTTGACCTTTAACATTAACCTTTAATCATAGGCACTCTTTGGGTAAGAGATGAGCAAGATGGTATCGAGAGGATGGGGTCAAGAGGAGAAAAATATGCTACAGCAAATGATTTTATACAGATCTTTTGAACTTGACCTTTAATCTAGAAAACTGGTTGAAGGTCATTGCATATCCTTTACCCAAAGACACTCTATGGGTGAAGTATGATTTTGATAGGGCCAAATGAATAGTAAACAAAAGACCCATGGCCACATCGCTCACCTGAGCACATTGACTAGGAAAAAGCAGATATCAGTTCAGTACTGAAAAGATTAAATACATGTATATAAGTGATCACAAACCCCCACCCCCCAGGCAAAGGGGGCATGATTTGTTCACACTTGATTCTACATTAACTGAGGATGCTTCCATATTTCTTTGACTAATCATAGCTTTGCTATTGATTTTTTTCCTACATGTTTGATTTTCTATTGTGGCCCCACCCTACCCTTGCGGAACATGAATGGAACAAAGGTCAATCTACACTATCTGAGCAAGCTTTTGAATTAATATGACTAACTATGAATTTCCTGTTCTTGGTAAGAAGATTATTATAGACATTTCCTATATATTCCAATGTAAAACTTTGTTTGCTCATTGTGGCCCCATCCTACCATAGGAGGTCATGATTTGTAAAATTTGACATTACATGAGGATGCTTCCTTATAAATATAACCCATCATGGCTTTGCTGCTCTTGAGAAGATTTTTTAACATTTATCATATGTATTCCTATGTAAAATTTCGATCACCCATTGCAGCCCTCCCTATCCCCAGGGGTCATAATTTGAACAAATCTGAACAAATCTGACTACACTACCTGAGGATGCTTCCATATAATTATGATTAATCATGACTTTGCTGTTCTTGAGAAGAAGACTTTTAAAGATTTTTCCTATGTATTCCTATGTACAATTTGGATTGCCCATTGTAGCCCCTCTCAACCTCCAGGAATCAAGAGTTGAGCAAACTTGAATCTACACCACCTGAGGAGGCTTCCATATAAATATAACCAATCATGCCTTTGCTGTTTTTGTTGAGAAGATTTTTAAAAAAAAATTCTATGTATACCCATGTAAAACTTTGATTGACCATTGTGGCCCTTCTCTAGCTCCGAAGGGTTATGATTTGAACAAACTCGAATCTACACTACGTAAAAAAGCTTTTACATAAGTTTCATCTTTTCTGGCCCAGACATTCTTGAGAATAAGATTTTTAAATGACCCCATCAAATTTTTACTTTTTCTTAATTATCTCCCCTTGGAAGAAAGTGTGGCCCTTCATTTGAACAAATTTGCAACCAAGGATACTCTGCCAAGTTTGGTTGAAATTGGTCCAGAGTTCTGCAGAAGATGAAATTGTATAAATTCTACAACAACAATAACAGACAACAGAAAAGCTCACTTGAGCCCTCGGCTCAGGTGAGTTAAAAAGCTCTGGACAAAGATTTTATACACAGAATTTTTTTTTTTTGGACCTTTGATCACAAATATTGGTTCAAGGTCACTGCACACCCTTTCCTCACAAGCACCTTATGACGGAAGTATGATACAGGTTGAGCCAAAGGGAGAATAAAAATGCTCACAACAAGGATTTTCTTTAACTTGACTTCAGATAAAAAAAATTGTTAAAGGTCATTGCACACCCTTCATCCATAAGTACTCTATCCTTGAAGTATTATTCAGAAAGGGACAAGGGCCAAGGGGGGGGGGGGGAATATATGCTCACAAGGATTTCAAAAGAGATCTGTTTTGACCTTGATCTCTGTTCTAGAAACTTAGCATAAGGTCACTGCAAACCCTCTACCTAAAGGCAATCTATGGGTGAAGTATGATCCAACTTAAGCCAAAAATATGCTCCAGATAAGGATTTTACACAAAGGTGATTTTTACCTTTGACCACAAAACTTGGTTCAAGGTCACTGCACAGCCTCTACATATAAGCCAAATTAGCCCAAGGAAAGAAAAAAATATAGTCTGATCAAGTAACAGATGGACAGACAGATGTCCAGACTGATCCATTTTTTGAAAGATTGTACAAATATCATTAATCTGATCTTTTTGACATCATACCCAGCCATTTTTGAGATGTCCATTTTGCAATTTGGACAAGGTTGTGAAGTTTTGGCTATGATGTCTCGGCTGAGCTTCTCTTCACGTTTACGGGCCAGTCTCCTCTGCCTTTTATCCTCCATCATCTTTGCAGCTTTTTGAGACTCGGACAATTCCTGCACATTCTCTTCAAGTTCTGCATAACATTTTCCCTGATCAAGAAATTTAAAGATTTTGATGTGATATCATTACATTCCTTTTATTTATTCCTTTTTTTTTGATTCCACAATGCTCACATGAAAGTAATTTTTCTGAAATATAATACATTTACTGAAGAATTAAGTAATTTCAATTAAAATCTTATAAAATATATTTCCAAAACATGAATGGTCATGATTTAAACAAGTTTAGACAGTAAAATTATTTCAAACACAGTGCATGTGCACTACTTTTATCAAGATTTTAATGCCTTTCCTCAATTCTTTCTGTGCTGACTCATGAATATTCACTCTATATAATTTTATACCCATATAGGTAGAAAAAAAAAATAAAATTATGATGGCACTCAAATGAAATTTTTCCAAAATGGGAAAAAAGTGCTTCAAATTAATGAACCCAGAGGGGCCCACTATCTAAACTCACATCATAGCCTTGTTCAAGCAGATATTTTTAAATCTTTTTGTACCATACAGTAAATAGTTTAGTTATCTAATTGCAGAAAATTTAGCACACTTGAAATTGAAAGAATTGCTAAAATTGAAAAATGGAAAGATTGAATTCTATTTCTGAGAAATAAAATCAAAAAAATTTTCAACACGAAAATGACAATGACATGGATTTCTTATACCTGCATTTCTTTAAACTCATTTACCATATCATACAGTAGGTAATACTGACAACCTGCCCTTTTTTTACTATTTACATTGAATATATAAACCAACTTTTAAATAGGCATCACACATTTATTTGAAAATTGTAGCCTTGTAATTCCCCCCAAAAAGATTTTGAGGATTATTTTTATAAAATGCCTATGACAGACAAAAAAAAAAAAAACTCTCTGTTTCCCCCTGATCTTTAAGGTCATGAACATATTTAAAATTGTAGACAATTTTTGTCCTTTATGCCCAATACGTAAAAAAATTGACTTAACAAACTTTTTCCTTTAAGTCAGTCACATCTGGATCATGATGGTATGTGATTTTATCCTGGAGCCACTGTTTGAGTTGATGGAATAAAGGTAACCTAATAAACCAAGGCTATATTTGGTCAATGCCTAAATATAGCCTCCTGCATTCTGACAACCATGTATTCTATATGCAGGGACATAGCCTTAGCTCCTAGCCTTAGAAAGCAATAGCCAGTAAAATATCCTAATAATAAGGAACTCAGATTTGCAGAATCTTAGATATGAAGAAGTTATATATTTTCCACATTACTCATATCATAGCACTTTCTTTTATGGATTTAAAGAAATTTTGGTTACCAGGAACAAAAATTTATGTTCCCCTGACTTCCTTATAAGCAAGTGTTTAATATACATATGCCACATCATTAGCATGTCATAAATAAAAATGTTTTTATGCCCCTGTAATCGAAGATTCGGGGGTATATAGTTTTTGCCCTATCTGTCCTTCTGTCTAGCTGTCCGTCTGTTTGTCTGTTCATCTCTGCAAAAACTTTAACACTGCCCATAACTTTTGATTGGTTGGAGCTATGCATTTCATATCTCACATGTGTATTCCTTGTGACAAGACCTTCCTTTGGGTACCAACATATTTGACCTCTTGACCTTGACCTTGGAGTTTGACCCACTTTTGCAACAATTTACCCACATTTAACCTTGGCCATAACTTTTGAACAGTTGGTACTAGGGCTTTCATATCTCGCATGTATATTTATCATGACCTTTCCATGGGTGTAAATATTTTTTACCTTGACCTTATAGTTTGACCCACTTTTAAAAAACTTTAACCTTGGCCATAACTTTTGAACATTTAGTACAAGAGCTTTCAAATTTAACAGGTATATTCCTTCTGATAAGACCTTCCTTTGAATACCAACAATTTGGAACTTGACATTTGACCTACTTTTGTAAAACTTGAATGTTCACCATAACTTTTGAACAGTTGGTGCTAGGACTTTTATATTTTACAAGTGTATTTCTTTTTACAAGGTCATCCCATGCATACCATTAATTTTGACCCTTTGACCTTGGACATTGATCAATTTTTAGAAAACATTATCTTTGACCATTTCTTCTGAATGGTTGGTGCTTGGGCTTTAATATTTACCAGGTATATCTATTGACACAAGTCCTTTCTTTGGGTAACAACATTTTTTATCTCTTGACCATGACCTTGTAGTTTGACTTGCATTTGAGAAATTTTAACCTTTGCCATAAGCTGCCATACGGGGGCATCAGGGTTTCACAAACACATCATGTTTCTAGGTAGGTAAGCTGTATCAAAAAAGATTAAAACTTTGACCAGGAGTTATCTCAAAGGATAGAGTCATGTTAATTGAGATGGTATAACACAAATTTTCATTTGATGACATCAGATGCTTCAGTACAGTAATAATTGGTTCATTGTGGAACAACAGTGATTTTTAATACCATTTGGATTCTCTCTCTTTTTTTAGCCACACTCTTATTTTCAAATTCATTTCTGGGATCACAGTTTCGTTACCTGGTGCCATGGTTCCTGGCACTCTGTACAGAAGCTATAAAAACATGCCACACAATGACCCAATTTAAGCTCCGCCTCCTTCTCCCGAATGACGGGGTTCTGACAGCGGGGACACCAAACAATATCCCCCATACAATCCAGTCCTTTCTGAAATGTGAACAATCTTTATAACTACTGGCACGATTCAATACTGAAACTGGAGGTATAGTGAAAACTATTGATGGAAAACAAACAAAATACTCATTGATGGGTCAATTCATTATCTGGTCATATACATGTATTAGAACCAGAAGCATTTTCTTTTTATCAGTTTTATATTAATTCATTGTATCCTGGACAGATAATGAAATATACATTTACATATACTGATGCACATACAGTTGTAGAGTACACAGTCACATACAGCTGTTCAGTACATGTACATTTGTACACTATTATATTCTTAACCAATCAATTTTTATGATTATTTGTTCTAAAATACTGGAACGTTTGTACATGTATTTGGATTATTTTATTTAGCGATTTCAAAATCAGATTGTTAAATATTATAATAATAATTTTTTTTTAGTAATGTGACAAACCCTTAGAGAAAGTGTCTCGTATCTTTCACATTCCTCAGCAGTAAGGTTAGACAACACTACTGATGGTGGAATTTCTGATTTACAGTCAGTTTCTGGACACCTGAAAGGCAAATCATATGACCTCTGATGATTCCTATTTATATTGGTAATTTTACCAGGAAATACATGTACATGTATGTGTAAATTACAAACAATGGAATTTTTGGCAAGATGTCCATTTCTTGGTTATAAGTTATAAAGACTCACAGAAGGTTTAAAACATTGCCATCCTTTATGTGTGTCCTGCAGTGCTCATTCACACAGTCCTGACAGAAGTGATGTTTACAAGGCCATAACCTCAGAAAACCCGTCCCTGTCTGCTGATCAAAGCATATCCCACACTCCTGTTCGTTCTGTTGAAACTCCTCCTCATCTCGGTGCTGATCATACCTAAATTTACCATACATTAATATGACCTAAATATACCATACATTAATACAATGACTTAAATTTAGCACACATTCATACAATGACCCAAATTTACCACACATTCATACAATGACCTAAATCTACGACACATTCATGCAATGACATTTCAGCATGAATAACTGTAATAGACGTTTAAAATAACAATCTACAATTTAGTTATCAGTTATTATTTTTTCCTAAAATATATATTATACAGATAGAAATTTACCTCATGATATTTGTAACAGCTTCCTCTATTTGCATGTGATCAGATATAACTCGGTTGTCACCATCTTCAAAATCATCTTGCAGCAATACTTTATCTCTTAAACCTAGGTATCTACAAAAACAATTCAAACATATATCACCCTTATAGTCTTAACCAAAACAGGTTCCTATATCCTAAAAATTGTCAGTTGCATTCAAAGGAAAACTAGTTTGGAGTACACTTGCTCAATATTAAATGAATGATCTAGATAAATGGAACTTACTCTGTGACATTCTCTTGTAGCCATGTAATCCATGTAAACAAAACTGGCATTGACATTGACTCCTCCCACAGCCTGTCCAACATGTGACACAGTGAGGTCATCTGGGGGGAGGTCAACCAAGGGCATGACATTGTAAACTTTGGAGAAGCACTACTGGGGTATTCATGGGGGAGTACAATTGTTAAGCTGATAGGGTATAAATACTTGACACTCACAGAGCCAATAATCCTCATTCCTAAAAATGTATAGAAATTGATATATTTTTCTTACTTCTGCTGCAAGACAAAATGACATTGTCAAAAATAAAATAGAACTGTCCAAAATGGACAAAATACCCCTGCTGGGTTTTTCAGAGAAGGTTCCAAGTCACTAATATTAGTATTTATGGATCTAAGAGGTGTTCACAATTTGTTTAAACATTTAGAGTGAAAATTTACCGAATTTGCTCATTATATTTTTTTGATGAATGAAACTAAGGCACAGCCTAATAAAACATCAATACTAATAATAACATTGTTTTTCATTACCTTGAAAAAATAAAAAAAAAAACATTTTTCAAGTAGTTTTCTACTAGAAAGTATGGATGCATTAAATTATCAATTTTCTCTACAGTGACTATAGGTAAAAATCATGACACACCCTCAGGTCATAAGCAACATCCCGACATTATTCTCCATAAGAAAGATATGGACCAGACATGAAGTATGAACTTTTTCTTTCATTGACCTTGAACTTGCCCAAATGACCTTGGGTCAAGGTCATAATACACCCTCAGGTTATAAGCAATCTTTGTGTAAAATGGAAACTCACCAAGTTTATCCATAAGAAAGATATGGACCTGACACAAATTAAGAACTTTTTCTTACACTGACCTTGAACTTGCCCAAATGACCTTGGGTCAAGGTCATGACACTCTCAGGTTATAAGCAATCTTTGTGTAAAATGGGAACTCACCAAGTTTATCCATAAGAAAGATATGGACCATACACAAATTATGAACTTTTTCTTTCATTGACCTTGAACTTGCCCAATGACCTTGGGTCAAGGTCATGACACACCCTCAGGTCATAAACAATCTTTGTGTGAAGTAGTAGATTCTAATTTTCCTCCATTAGAAAGATATGGACCAGACACTATTGCACAGACAGCTAGATGGACAGACAGACAGACAAGGTGATTCCTATATACCCCCAAACTTTGTTTGTAGGGGTATAATAAAAAACAAACATAAAAATGATTTCAAAGCACATACCTGAGTCAGATCTTCTAAAGACAGAGTAGTCAACATCCTTTTCTAACTCTTTAGATGGCATACATATGTCCACTGTCACAGTTCTGCCAGAGTTATCAACAGGAATAGCCAACTGCACAATTTTGAAAGTATTAAACATAAAACAGTTGATAGTTGATAATGCTATGAATGACCTGTTGTTTACCAGTATATACACATCATGGCATATTTTCACTCAGTTTGATAAATTAACCAATGATTTTGGGGGGGGGGGGGGGACCCAAAGAAAAAAGGTTTTTCATTGAATGGTAACTTATCAAATTATATCTAGCTCAATAACACAGCCAAAATCATAAGAAAAATATTACATCATGATGAGATTTAAAAAATGCAAATTGAACATGTGCATCTATACATCATCAAATTCTTTTCAAAAATAAAGTTGCAGCAAAGAGAAGCATTTTGTTGCAGTACATTTAACAGCATTACAAGGACATATTTTCTGATCTACTGATGTTGAAATTTAAATCATGTTCTCTATAAAGTCAGAATCCAGTATTGTTCCCGACCTTGTCATCTTCCTTTAGTCAACCTGTGACTAGTAGAGACTGAGAAGTAAAACAGTGCCATGGAAATTTGTAAACAACATTACCAAAACCCAACACTACCTTTAACTTTGCCCATTGATCTTTTTTACTCTTGAATCAATAAACTTCTTACTTTGACTTAAAGCCATAACTCATATGCAAGTTTAAATCTGAGAAGTCAAACGCTTCTTTTCATGACATGTCTGCAATACTAGTAAGGACTTAAATTTGAAAAAGCTTGAATGCCACATGAGCCCATAAATATATACATGTAGTAGTTCATATCAAAACTGTACAAAGATAGATGAGAGCTCACCTGTATGGAAAAGATTCCATCCTTTGGTTCACCATTCACCTTTATTTCAGGACGACTCAGAACATTTAATCCTACCACTCCCTTTCCAGGTTCATATATTGATTCCAAAGCTAGCACCTTTAGTAAATTAAAGAAATCAAAAATCAGAACACAGTTATGCAAACCTCTATTTTATCCATGAAAACTTAAGCATAATATTGTAAGATCAACACAAAAATAAATTTTTCATAAAAAATAATGGAAAGTATGTGTACCTCTAATTAATTATTGTGTGAACAGTATGCACAAATAATTGCTATTTATGTTGTTTAATTTATTTACATGTATTTATTATTATTATTTCTTTTTTTGAAAAATGAAAATAAAGCAATTTGAATGATAAGTGATTAATAACAGCTTTTTGAAAACCAATTATGCCATTTTAATTGCAACTTTAAGGATTCATGGTTAAAAATACAGTGCAATCCATCCTGGAAGTTTGATTCATCAAAGACATCGAATATTACAATTTATTTATCTGGAAATTCATCCAAATAATTTACATAAAATGCTGCAACTGAAATATGGATGGTAGTATTTATTATTTGATACACCAGACATGCAATTCTGGACAAGGTAGCTAGTGTACATGGATAATAAAAAAAATGATAGACTCAAAAACATTGTGATTCTACACAAAAGTCAGGAGAGATGAGCTATACAGGTAAATAGTATATTTTTACTACTTCCATATAACGGCAATTTAGTTAGATTAATCTAACTGTGTCTCAGGACAGGCTCTCACCACAGTTAGAATGCCCCCAACATACCCGCAATGTTGCAGAAAATTGTAGAATCACTCCGAAATAATTTTGGAGAAAATAGATAAAATTGCATTGAAAATAACTATCAAATTAATAAAAACAAACCTTTTCAAGACTTTCACCCAAAAATTTAATCCCTATAATGGAAGAATTCAACACTTTTTCTCAACGTTATTTTACTTGTTTCAAATTTACGCATAACATTTGGAATCTCTGGATTTTTCACAGTAAATACACTGAGTTAGAGTTATCTCCAGTGTTTTCTTTGCTAAATTGCCAATACATGGAACGTCTTCTATCATTAAACCGAATCCATAGCACAATTAACAACAGAACATTCTATCTACAGGTAGTTAGAATAACCATGCTGTGCATTCACCAAACCATGTCTGTAGGACAATATTTTAACAATACTGTAGATAGAACGATCTATCAGGGACCTACATACTAAAAAAAGTTAGTTCAAGTCCCTGGTTTCATCTAAGTCCCACAATGCAGTTGATATTATATTTGCAATTTTGCATCATTGAAAACAGCTAAATCCATATGCTTACTTTGTACAATAAATGATCAGTGGATGGATTCTTATAAAAATTACATACATCAATTATCTTACGTACAATACTGTAATTACCTCATCGCTCTGTTCCAAGTAATTGTTCTTGTGGTGCAACGCCCACTGTTGACAACCGTGTGCAACACCTCCTGTGGCCATTTCCTAAGTGTTCAGACTATGTCATCATGTATTAGTAAAGTAAGCTAAATATAATTGATTTTAAAATTGGAATTTCACAAAAAGATTGCACAATATACGCACATTTTTCTTTTATTTATTCTTGTTTCACTTTTAATGTTTGTTGTGGTTTCGCTACACTTCCGGATTGATTGAATTAGATAGCTCGATCGTACTATCATTCGCCAAAAAAATAATCACGCATATTTTTTTTTTTAATTTATTAATTAAAATAAGGGAAAAAAAATTCCGCGTTATTTATGGGAATTCCATATTATCTGTTGTTTAAATGTGTGGACGAACATTTAGAACTTGAGAATGGTAACGGGATGTTTTGCACCTAAGCATGGTTCGCGCTGCGATGTTTCGTACCAATTCCGTTTCGCGCTGAGATGGTTCGCCCCACATTGTTGTACAAATATGTGCTCGCCTACTGAAGTTCGTTTAACAAAATTTTAGATTTTAAACATGTTATATGGTGTAAATTTTGATGTAAATTTTGATATTTTTTGAAACATTTTTTTTAATTCAAGATTATATTTGTAGCAGAGACATAATTATTTATGTCTGTGTTTGAAGTATACATAGCATATAATTATGTATTATTTTAACACCATGCTAATTATAATACCGCCATCTAATTAAGTAATTACTGCTGGTTTGACTACCAACACGTCAATTAATAAATTCTCACCTTTCGATCTACAACTAATTACAATTAAATCCTCATGGAATATTTGATGAACACGATCCGTAATCTTTGGCAGTGCATACATGTATTATTATGCATTTCAACACACAACATCTATATATGTATATCTTATAATTGATAAACAATTTTTTAAAATGGATAAAAATGTCATGGAATATTTAAAATAAATCGTGAGATGTTTCGCACCTAAATTGGCGCGAATCATCGGGGTGCGAACCATCTCAGTGCGAAACGGAATGGGCGCGAAACATCCCGGATTCTTGGGAATTATTCGATTGTGACTAAAATGGGTACATGTAGTAAAACCCGGGAATTTCGAAACTGAAAAGCGGGTTTTCGCCAATTACTGTAAAAATACTCATTTATTTGTCATGAAACTTACAGATGTAATTTATTGCAACAAAATATACCTTCGCTGAGAATTTCAAATCCAAATATAACGTTTTTTTTTAAATATAGTCCTTAGGCATTTTTCATTGTTGTGCCTTAAACTCACCTGCGTAAGCTTTTTTTTCCCCACCTTACCTTTTGTCTCAAATGAAGATTACTATTTCAAAAAAGGATTATAAAAAGAATTTATTAGGGATATGAGGCTTCATAATTGATCCCACCCTCCTTTTTTGGCCCTATAGTGCCTGTATTTAAAAAAAAGTATTGATTTATAGTGAGTGACTTTTTTAATAAAATGAACATATTTATAGTGCCGACGTGTAAAAAACAAAATCAAAGAAAAAACAAACAAACAAACAAACAAACAAAAAAACATTCATACATGTGTATCACCATCAGCAATATAAAAACAGCATTAATTTTTATGAGAAAATAATTAAAATTATAGTTTTACCAATTTCATTTTTAAATTTCATTACTATTTTACTATTTGACGTCTTAATTAAGCGTATTTTTTTTTAACGGCCCTCGTATGATGCCTTTGTCCACGATTTTCCTGGGTATGTCAAAGTCCATTGATTATGGGTGTAGAACACTGTAAAAAATGTGTTTACAATTCAAACACTTTTCTAAACACTTTCTTGTCACCTCCTTTTTTATATGTTTAATTTCTAAACATGTAAAATTCCTAAACATGTCTTAGAAAGTGTTTAGAATTTAAACACTTGTGTGCTTAGAAATTAAACATATCTAAACACATAAACACAAGTGTTTAAATTCTAAACACATAACAGCAGATACGTTTAAAATCTAAACACATCATAAGTTTAATTTGTACCTGCAGAAAAACAAAACACTCTCGTAAATTTAGGCACAAAAAGTATATGTTTTTTAAATGCGCATAATTGTCAAAATTTTCAAAATATGTAACCAATATTAATTATTTTCCATAAAGCCACTGAACGTTGGGATATGTATTTAATTATACAATGCAATGGTCACTGTGCGATGTACATGTACTTAATTTACACAAATAATGTAGGAGATAGAACTGAATAGATTTGATTAGTCTCAACAATTCAATCAGAATGACACATAATTTATGACGCACACATAGATAACAAACTTTTAATCTTCAAAATCATTAAGAAAATAATATTAAACTGACAATTTTATATCATATATTTCTAAAAGGCTTTATTGAAGAATTGTTAAACTGAAAATACAAAATGTATATATATATATATATATATATATATATATATATTATAATCATTATATTTTGAATCGGCTGCAGAGTTTTCCTCATGTCAATCACAAAATAACAAATTTTATGAACTTTCAGCAAGTCCCAAAACACCACATATTATAATCTATATCCCATCAATAACTGCCAGAAAGTAACCCATTTCGAATGCATGAGGGTAATTGTAAACACTGTCGAATTAACACAGTAGTCTTCAACAAATGAAGTTTCAAAGTGTTGATTATGGAACAACAACATTGCACTTGAAGATGACACCAGGTAGTACTCTGATACGTGTATTTTGAGTTCGATCTGGACTACGTACGGTGCCTGTAGGAAAGAAAGCCAGATTTTAGAAAAAGTAAACTATCACTGATATTTTACATTACTTAGAAAAACAAAATTGTTCAAATTTTAGTGAAACTACACAGATAAAAATATAGATGTTTTTAATGACATTTAATATTATTTCTTCTCCTGCAAGTCTATGAACGAATTCAAGATATCCGAAGTCAACTTTATTTACGTTGCTCATCGTGGTTAATCAATGCAAAGAAGAAGAAAACAAACCTTTAATGTATTGCAGCAACAAAATGCCCTTTCACGTATTTCGCTATTTCGTCATGGTTATCCCTTGAATTGGGTTGTCATAACTCTCATTGATACATCACCTTAGCTTGTTGCGTTTTCTTTGTTTACATAGCTGCTCCAATTAACGTTCAAATATATGTGTGTCATTTCCGGGAAGATAACTCTGCACTTTACAGTAAAACGTGTTTAATTTCTAAACGCGTTTAGATATAAAACATGTTAAGACATAAGTGTTTAGTTGTTAAACACAATACTATACACGTTTAGATCTAAACATGTAATAGAAGTGTTTATTTCCTAAACACAATTTTTACAGTGAAAACAAGGACAAGATGATGATAAAAGGGAACAGATCCACTTGTAGTATCCCTGGTATATTGGGTCTGTTGTGAACCTCCTCCACGTCTTTGTTGGTCCACCAGGTGACTGTCATTGATGGATCTACAAAACTGGGCTTCCAGTCCATGTCCTTAACAAGAAAAACAGGGACAATGAAGACAGGCCCGTAGGAAGCAATTTAAGTTTGGGGGGCACCGCCATACATTTTCAGTTGAGAGGGCACTACCAAAAACAAGCAAAAGGAAAAAAAGTCATCAACTACCAAAAAATCCTTGACAAGCAAAAAAAAAAAAAATAATAATAATAATAATAATAAGGTCATCACTTTTTCATTGAGGGGACACGAGCATATAGTAACTAAGTTTACTACAGTAATCTATATATCGGCAAAATTAGGGGGGGCGCCCTCCACCCACCCACCCACCCCCGGTTCCTACGGCCATGGAAGTCACGTCATAATAAATAGATCTATTAGCATTACTATACATATTTTGTGTAGAATCAGATTTGTTTAAGGTCTGACGACACGTTCCTCAAATATTTGTTTTATATCTCTTCATAATACATTGTATATCAAAAATCATTCATAATTGTCATTCTCTTAATTGTGATTTCTAAATTGTTTTCAAAATGTATTAAAAATAAGTACATAAAAAATTGTAATATTGGCAACTCAGAAGATTACCAAAAGGATTATATAGGAAACACTACCCTCTGGTATCTTGCACAAATGCCTGGTAAGGTACCTCAATTTTTTGTGAAGAAACTTGTTAAAGTAGCAATTCTTCAATGACAAATTCTTGTGAAAAATTATATACATTATTGAGGAACGTGTCCTCTGACCTTAAAGCATGATTACCGGGGCTATTGTAGGGTCACAATGCTAGGTAGGCAATAAAAATTTTAGAAACTATAATTTTTTTAAGTAAGACCATAACTAAAGTCATATAACAGGCGCAGATCCAATAATTTTTTCCAGGGGGAGGGGTCCAAAAAAAAACTACTCCGCCACTCACTTCTAAAGGTTCGTATCTATGACTTTTCATACCAACTTAACACGGGTCCGCGTTTTCTAAGAGGGGGGGGGGGTCCAAGGTCACTTTTAGTTGGTTTAGTATATACATTTAATAACTCTGCAAATTCCGGGGTGAGTCGGGATCCCTGACCCCCTCTAGATCCGCGCATGTATAATATACAAGAATCTTCATATGTGAATTCAACTTTTTCCATCATCCCAACTGTGGTTAGGATGGGGTGCCTAATCGGTAAATAAGTCTTGATGAAGTAAAGATTTCTTTATTGACCAGAAACGTCGGGTTAGAGGGGGGTCAATACGATGACGTCATAATAAGAACACATCATAACAGACTTACGTCACAAAGGTTGCGAACCATTTCTGTTGTCTACAAAACATTTGGGATTATCTGAGACTGTAAACAGCTATAATCTTGAAACGATGGAGAGATTCGGAAGTAAAACAATTGATCAATGTCTAAAGTCAAGTCTGTTAGAATATTTGTCAAAAACGAAGACCCGAACAATGACGCCAGTGGTAAGCTTCAACAGGAACTTCTGGTTATTTCTTTTTACATGGAAATTAATATCGAGTAACTATTTTACAACATGCAGTGGCTAAGAAATTTATAAAAGATAATCAGGAATGTTCATTCTATATTTCCTTTTTAATTTATTTTCTAGAGACGAAACATTCTACAAATCATCATCTTCCTCTTTTGAAATGAAACTTCGGACAAACATGAGTTTTTGTATTCCGACAAGAAAGA